CTCTCGCCGACGCTCTGCAGCCAGGGATAGCACGCCGCGGCGCTCCGCCAGACGGTGCAATTCCTGTGCCATGATCCCCGCGCCGGGCAGCCTCGTCGCGCTGCGGCAAGCCGCCGCTGCTCACCAGCGTGCCGAAGAGGAGAGGCTGGCCGCCGCCTTGGAGCGGGAGGCGGCGAAGGTCAGGGAGCTGGAGGAGCTGGTCGCGGCTGCCGAAGAGCTGACCGATGTGGAGCAAGGATTCGAGCAGCTCCGCAGCGAGAACGCCACGCGCCGCGAACTTCACAGCGCTGCGCTGCTCGCAGTATGCCGCAAAGCGATCACACGCGTGCCTCGGCTCGCCGCTGTGATGACAGCCGAGCAGGCGTTGGCAGATCCCGAGCGTGTGCTGGCATGGCTTCTCAGCGCGGCGGGCACGGCGCCTCCGACAGCGCCTGCTGCGGGCTTGATTCCCCCGACACCGCCCACCCTGCCGGCCACACCGGTCGCGACGGGAGGCGCCCTCGAGCTGGGCTCTGGCGCGTCCCTCTGGCAGCGAGGGCAGCGCTTCGTCTCGACCGAGGCAGCTGAGCAGGCGGAGGAGGGTTCGTGCTCTGGGGCGGCGGCGCCTTCGCGGTGGCCAGGGCTGATGGACGAGGCGAGGCCCCCGGCCCGCGAGGCCGCCAGCTCCGACGCTCCACCCCCGAAGCGCACGCGCTACACGGAGACGTGCTGGGGCGACGTCGTCTCGGGCGGCGCGCTGGGCTGCGAGGCGCTGCCTCCGCAGGCGTCGACCGCCGCCTTTCGCGAGAGGTTCTGCGGGGGCTGCCGGCAGCGGGGCGTGTTTGTGCCGGCGTCGAGGGTGCGCATGCCCATCGGCGCGGGCTCCGACGAGATCGCCAACCGCCACGGGCGCGGCTTCTGGAACGAGCCGTCCCGAACCTCGCGCTTGCCTGCGCACCGCGTCGTGAACCAGACGTCCGACTGCCCGGGCCCGACGCTCGTGATCCTCAAGGACGAGCTTCCGGTCCCGCTGCCCGGCCTGGCCGAGGCCGCCGCGCTGTCCACCTCCGGCGGCTGGGTCGCCTTCTCGGTCGGCCGCACGCTCAAGAGCAAGGTGGCTCTGCCGTGGGCCGCTGCGATTCCTCTCTTGCCGGCCCCGCCGCCCGAGCGCGACACTCCTGAGGCTCGCACCGCATCAGCCCAGGGGCGTGTCGAGGGGTTTGCGGCGGCGGCGCAGGCGGGCGAGGCGTCTGGGTCTGCGTTGGAGGCCGGCCTCGCGCCCTTCCTCGCGGAGATCTCGCTCGCTCTCGGCCCGCTCGCCGAGGCCGGCGCGCCGCCGCCGCCGGGGCCCGACGAGATGACGTGGCACTTCGGGGGCGGCAGCCCCATCGACGATCTGCTTCTCTCTGGCTCCGCGACACCGCCGCTGCTGCAGACGCGTCCGGCTCCGGGGGCAAGCGTGCCGCCGCCCTCCATGCCGCCCTCCATGCCAAGGAGGTGAGAAAAAAAGACCCTTCACGTTATTTTCAGTTCGATGCCCTCCTCTCTGTGGGTTAAAATCCCTGTGTGGTGGCGGCGTGCCGTCCTCCCAT